TTGCCCTGAACCCAAATGAGAAGAGATGCATTCGAGACACACAAAGATATATTGTATCATTTGGATGTATATGTTATATGCAAACACACAGCTTTCTATTAACTTGAATCAGTATCCTTTGCAAGCATCCTTACGTAACTGTCACGTGTGAATCTATTTTAGCCACCTTCTCGCCCATCATTCAAAGTAGGCACTGAAAAACGGTGGGATATGTTTTTTGCCCAATAAGGCACGTGTTCTCTGATCACAAGGATGCTTAGTAAAGACCGTCCACTGGCTTGCTTAGGAACAGAAAACTATTTGGAAAAATCTTCATTTTAATAACAAAAAATCTCCCTGCTGGCCAAACACTACCATTCAGAACACATCCCTTGTCATGCTCATGGCTGCCCTTGGACTCCACATCACGTTCCACAGACACACTCGGGGTCAGACGATGGCGGGGTGAGAAATGGGGGCCAGCCCCACCCTTTGGGGTTCCTTGCGCCTTCATACCTGTGCTGATGCTCCTGCAAGACTTGATAAATGCTGATAAGAAAAGTTTGGTTTTTAAAACTCCCCACAACACAGTCCTTGTAGATTCGGAATTCTGCAGCCGTCACCGCCTCACCCTCAGGAATCTGGGATAAGTTGAACTTGAACTCTTTGTGGTATCGCTGGCCAGGGGAGAACTCCTTCTCGTGCTCCACTATAAGATTAAACAAGAGAGAGTGACAACTATTGTTACTTGACTAAGTGCCACAGGCTCACCTCAAGAAAGCCGCCCCATTTTCATTCATAAGTGGATTACCGGTTACCAATGGCTTAGGAGAGGGGATGGGGGCGGGGGGGGGGGGGGGGGGGGGGGGGGGGGGGGGGGGGGGGTAGCAAGAACCAACAGAGGCTGACCTGTCACACAGGCTGAAATTAAAATCCCTCATTTGACCCAAGGATTAAATAAAACTCTTAGATTCTATTTGGTTTAAATACTTTAAATACTTAGTTGAATTACGTTGCATAAAAGCAAGTTATTTTAAACTCTTGGCTTTGGATGTCCTCATCCATGGAGACAAGAATTCACAGGGCTTCCCAAGGAAGTTGTGAGAATGGAGAAAACGAATATGATGGTGCCCGGTGATCCTGGCCCCGGTCACCCCCTCCCGCCCCCTTGACTTCCTGCTGCCTGGTCCCCCTCAGATTGGTTCACAAGTCACCATCAAGCAGTTGACAAGACCAAGGGTAGCCCTGAGCTGACCTCTGAGGGGGATGGTGGGGGAGGGTCCTTGTGGTGGAGGGGACCGAGGAGTGCATTGACCTCAGCCTGAAGCTCCAAGAGTCCTCGGATTTTGCCTGCTGCTCTGTGGCAATTTTTGTTGAGGGGTTTAGGGTAAAGCTTCAGAGAAAATGCCACTCTTAGCTCAAGTCCACTGCCCTTCCTTCTCCAGGAAGAAAGGGAGGGCTGCAGGAATCTGAGGCCAGGGCCCCTCCACTTAATCTTTGTGTGCAACCCAAGTGTGGGGACGGACACGTGGAAGCAAACTGCCAATGGTATGCATAGCTTGCGATTTTCTAAGGCTTTTCTAAAAACTGGGAAAGATTTGAATCTGAATGTCATTTTTACTTTTTTTAAACATGTCTTTTTTTTTAAGTTTATTTATTTATTTTGAGAGAGAAAGCACTAGAGCAGGGGAGGGGCAGGGAGAGA